CTGGATGGAGAATTCCAGCAAGCGATGATCGCTGTCGCCCAGGTGTTCTTTCAAGCCCCGATCATTCTTGCTACTTTCTTCTGAACTCCCTTTATTTCATCAATGTACTTTGAGATTAGAATGACTAGTACTGCATATGGCTTTCTGCATGAAGCCATACCATTGGTTTATATAAAAGCATTATAATGCTCTTTACATTATTCTTAGTCCATTCTTTATGGATCCTGACTTCTTGCTTTTTTAATTGCAGCTGCACATTAAACAGATGTCTTCACTGTACTGTCTGCAGGTCATTATCTTAAGTTAAAAAAGTTAACCTAGGACCCAGCTATGTATATGAGTGATTTTAAATTTTTCCTGCCAATATGCATTATTTTCTATGTACAAACACTGAATTTCAGTTTCTAGTATGTTATCTATTCACTTAGCTTGTGTAGGTCTCTCTGATTTTAACTAACCTAGATAACTTCATAATAACTGCAAATTTTGCAGCCTCAGTAGTCATACTTTCTTTCCAGATCACTAATACATATTTTAAGCAATAGGGGCCCTCATGCAAAACTTTTAAGCCACCCTTCTGTTAAAGTTGTGCTATAAAAATGACCATTTAATGTTACTCTGGTACTCTCAACTACACCTTTGTATTTCTCATCAGCAAACTTTTGATGCCAATGGTGTGAAATAATCCAAAATAGATGAGATGAGATGCACAAAATGCAGACGCACTATGCTGATTAACCTAGTAGTTCAAACAATGTTTGTTTGATAAAGTTTGAGTGCCTGAAGATAGCATTTTCCTTTGAATCCCATATGCATAAACAAGCACACTTAGTTTCTTATGTGGAGGAGGCTGTGAAGGTTGGAAAGGCTTATAACCTTATTTTGTCAGATGGCAACAAATCCCAGAAATGGCTGGCGTTAACATGTGGCCAGAGCGGTTATGAGGTACACCTATCTAGAACAGGAAACTCTCAAGGCCTCCTTGATACAATTATAAAGCTTTTCTGTTCTCAGTGTATTCTGCTTTGGGTATCACTGGTGCAGAAAAGTCTAATCTGCACCTTGTTATAAATCCCACATTACCTTGCTTTTTCCTTTTCAATGTATTTTTTTAAAGAAGTCTAACCATGCCCTGCCACTTGATTGCAACTCATCTGTTATCCAAAAATATCCCTAGAGGAGACTACCAGCTACTCTGATTTCAGCTGGTTATGGGCATTATACATTTATTTTCCTGGCACTTTAGTATGAAGCATGCATTTTTGCATGAAGAAACAGAATTTGATTCAAGTGATAAGTAAGAGGCTGTATAATTAGGCAAAAAGTAGAAACATTTGAAGGCATTCACAAGAAGAAGTAGAAACTTGGTTAACAGCAATGTAAAATACAAAATGACACTTGGATAAACAATGGGATTGACTTTAGCTGTGTTCACATCTAGCTTGTAAATGCCTGAGATTATAGTCAGTGATGATGAGAGTTCAATACCTGGCGTAGACTCTTTCCTTTCGGAGCCTTGTGATTTGTTTTCTTGGTTCTCTCCCTTGCAGTATATATTTCTACATTAGCTGATTTCCCCCCCCCCTAAAAGCATGTACTGCAAAACATTACAGGATGTCATAAATGGTTGTGTAATGAGATAGTGGCTATAAAACAACTGAGACTTAATAAATATGTGGTCCTATTTTCAAATAGTAACTCGGATAGTATCAATGAAACTCAGCTTTGCTGTTCCAGCCTGTGAAATTTGGGTATATTCCAGTCATAATAGCTTATTTAGGGTGAACTTGATTGCTTAGCAGAAAAGAGAAGGTTCATTACTGTGGAGTTTTTACAGTTTGAGGTACAATTGAGAAAAAGAAATAAAGTGTAGTATTCTCATCACCTCTCCTGCTGACCCCAGCTTCAGAAAACCTGCTGTGACCAGGATGTACACTTCTTTTCTTTTCTAACCCACTTCCTCTCTCTCTGTCTTGTAGGAGCCATACATAAACAAATCAGCGGTGTCAGTTCAGGCTCATTTCTCGCTGCAGCGCACATACATCATTTTTCGGACCCTGGGGCTTCGCCACCTGACAGTTGTTGACCTCCAGAACCGAGTTGTTGGGATAATCACCAGGAAAGATCTGATGCCTTTCCAGCTGGAGGAGAGGTTAGGCCTCCAGCTGGCATCACAAAGACTTGACTTGGATGAGTAGCCGTTAGAGTTAGGGAAAGAGAACAACCCATGAGAGTGGTGTTTCTTAAGTTTTCCACTTCAATTTCCTTTCATGTATAGATGGAGAGGGGAGGAGGTATCCCATATATTCACCTGTCTTTGAAGAGCTCTGCTCTTGACTACATTTCTTTCCATGTTTGTAGCTATTAGAACAGATTCTCTTTCTTTACGCCCACCTGGAATAATTAAATTTGCTGTGAAAGTAAGACACAGAATAAATTTACTCAATAGTGAAACAGCTTAATAAATTTTGGATGTAGTTATTTTGTATATTACAGCTTATTTGGAAAGGTTCTCAGAACACAATATAGAAGGTGGCCTTATTTCTTCTTTGTTACTTGGTTTCAAATGGTACGTGGTTCACATTTTGTTCTGCTGCATAACAATTTCCCACAGAACTGCATATTAAAACTTGTAATTCACCATGATTACTGTTGTTTATAATGAATGAAAACTAAACATTGTTTATTGGTTGTTAAAACTTGCCAGAAATCCTGAAAGGGGCTCTATGATATTTAGGTCTTAAAGCTTTTTGCTTCCTGCTAAATTAATTGGATTTTCTTTTATTTTTTCCTGTGTAACTTGTCTGTCTTTATTATTACTTTTCTAGCACTTCAGAGAATACATAATGCTTTAAAACCAGTGAAGTAAATGAGGTAAGAGAGAGAGTATCTTGTAGAACGTCTAACTGGTAGGCAGCAGGGGACCTGTAGATTTTTAACCACCTGTTGAATTGTAAAGCCTTAGGGCATGTCCTTACATGCAGGGGCGTGCATTTGCCATGGCACAGATAGCAGTGGCACTTGTTTGTGCCTCTGCTTTGTGTCACAGTATATGCCCCAGCATGTGAACATGGAGAATGCCAAATTGTCCCTGGTGGGAAAATTGTCCCAGCTGTGCTGGCCCCGCCAGCCTTACCTGCAGTCCTGAGGGCGTCCTGGGGCAACAGTGTCGCTGATTCAGCCTCACGGAGTCTGGATCCAGGATCCAGTTTGACACCAGAATCTCTTGGTGTCAAATTTTGGCACCATGCTGCTAATTAGCAGTGCAGCAAATGGTTGCATGTGTGCTGCATCCAGTCTGCGGTGCCTCAAACAGCTCTGAGGCTCAGCAGACTGCACATGTGCGCTTGTCTGGATGCACCCTCAGTGACTTTAAGTACTGACATAGTCACTGTCATTGTTGACATTTTCATCAGCTACTTGAGGGATGGAAAGTCTTTCTCAGGGGAAGGTTTAGGGATATGCTCATTACCATGGTTCACGGATCTTTGTGTACCGGTAGGTCAGCAACTCTAATTTGGTTTCCTTTTCGAATGTCCCTAAAAAGCTGATGTTGAGAATCTGGGTATGAGAATTTCATTGTTTTTCTTAAATTGAAAGTTAGTCCCATATCTGGATTATGTTTGCTATAGGTTTGTTAACCCTTGCTCCAGCTGGTGAATGATTTTTTTTAGTTTCTGATGTATCCATTGTTATCCTAACAGGATTTGGTCACTACTTGCCCACTGCAGTGATATAATTCCTCTTCATCTTTCCACTGCTTGCATTTCAGATCCTCATATTAACTAAAGCCATGATCTACTGAACTGAGCATCGGGCTTGGATTTGGGTCCCATCTCTGTTACTGACTCAATTGAACAGTTTCTCTGTGCCTTGATTAATCCATTTTGAAATTGGGACAGTAACTGTGAAAGGGCTTTGTGAATTACATACCAAATGTACTGTAGAAATATAAATGATGACTGTGATTATTATAATAACTGCTTTTGTGCCATTGATAAAGTAGCTCTAATTTTATAACAGTGCTAATAGTATGTCAATAGTGCTGTAAACATGTGAAAGCTAACTTAATGTTGACGGCAGATGTTAAAAGGCAGAAACAAGCCTGTGAGCCCATCTGAGCCATAGATGACTTAGATACAGCCTGCAGCTCATAAGACAAATCAGTCAATGAGATACAAGATTGTAGCTGTTGTTAGAGAACAAGAAAATCTCCATTGTTAAAACATGAAAACTGTGTTACTTCGGCCACATTATGAGAGATCCTAATTTGGCTTACACAGTAGTTCAAGAGAGAGTGAATGGAAGGAGAAAATGCTGATTAAGGAAAACATGGATAGATAACTTAACTGGTTGACGGAAGAGAGAACAACACATCTTGTTTACTCCGTTACAGAATACGAATGATTGGAGAGAGGTCATAGTTGAGTTGTTATGATAGCATCTTATGACTCTGGAGGTTATATGAAATTGACTGACTGGTCAATGGTATATCCTAATAAATATATCCCAAATCACCACAAAATCTCCTTTAATGTTCTGTTATCATATTATGGTGAGTTGCATTCTCCTTTACATTTGCCTAAAATCATGAACAGATGAGGCCTAAACTACAAATTATATAAAATGCAAGCAAAATACTTGTATGTACATACCACAAATGGAATTCTTCAGCATTTTTGAAAGCTACAATTTAAAGGGATGTATGTATCATGCACCCCAAAGCCAAATGGGCCTCATTATAAATAAACATGATAACATTCATGACACAATATATACGTGTTCAAATCAGCAGGTCCTGATGATCTCCACCCCAGAATGCTGAAGAAATTAGCAGAGGTCATTGCAGGACCCCTGACCTGGCTTTATGAGCACTCATGGTGCTATGGCGAGGTGCCAGAGGATTGGAAAAGGGCCAATGTGGTCCCAATTTTCCAAAAAAGGGAGGAAGGAGGACCCAGGAAACTA